AATTAAGATGGAAAGGAAAATGTCAAGAATGTAAGGTTTAGAGTAATTGGACAAAAGGAAGAAAACCAAATAGAAATAATAAAACATTAATTACCCAGTGCATCATAATACTTGTTATATTTAAATACAAAATACTGAATTGTAGATTTGATAGTTATACATGAATATATTAATATATGCATCTGACATGAAGCTTATTTTTTTCAAGTGTGAAGTATAGTTCATCTAGCTTTCTGTGCTTTGCCAAAAGAATAAATGTATTTCCAATTCTTTCGTAGAAAATTGTCCACTAGTACATTATGGCTAATTTTTCTAGATAGAAGAGCCTACCTTTCTCCTTTCTAACCATCCCTACCTCATGGCTATTAACTGTGCTGCATGTATATCCAAATTGTATCTATATTCACTCATGTATTTTAAATAACTAGTTTAAATTGCAATGAAATTGCACCCTGTGTTTTGCATTTATTTTACTGAACCCTGCCACTGCAGTCTCAGTACTTATTCAATGCTTGCTAGTGGATTACTTATAGCTACCCTACTCAAATGATCATGTAAATCCTCCTTTCATTTTGAGAATTGTAGGTTTTGAATACAGAAAACATTTTTGTAATACTTGTATTATCACAGTGTTATGTTCTGCCACTGTTTTTATTAAAACTTGCATTTATAGGAATTTAGACTTGAATCATTTTTAAATCTCACTAGGTATTGGAGCTATGTATCTGGTAGTAGTAGATCAGTATGGATGGTAGGCTTTTGTTTTATTGCTGAGTTTTAACATTAAAGGTGCTTTTTGGGTAACACCCTTTTTTCTTCCTTCCTTTTTTCTTCCTAATTTTTTCAAAATTAACAGAAAATTATGACTCATATAACAAGTTACCTATAAATTCAGTAAGTTATTTTTCTTGTTTGAATTTGAAGTCATAGTTATACTGTGAAGAAACCAGATAGAATATGGACTTGTGTAAATCTATTTTCATTACCATAAAATTGTTGGTAAGTTGCATGATTAACTGATGACAGAACATTAGGTTATTGTATATGAAAGTTAATTTTCTTTTGAAGTATCACAAAAATCATATTTTGGGTATAGACTTGCTATGAGCTTTTTCTTTTCTTTCTTTCCTTCCCTCCATCTTCCCTCCCAGAATTGAACCCAGGGACACTCAACCACTGAATCACATCTTCAACCCTTTCTGTATTTTATTAGAGACAGGGTCTTGCTGAGTTACTTAGGGCCTTGCTAAATTGCTAAACTCTGGATTTGAACTTGCAATCCTCCTGTCTCAGCCTTCCACTGGGATTATAGGCATGCACCACTGCTCCCAGTGAAGCTTTTTCTTTTAATCCCCATGTTAGGGGAATGGTGTGGGGAGATTCTTGCTTTTCCTATTCTCTTTATCTTTGTGAGTTACTTCATTTTAAAATTTCTTTCCGGTAAGTATTGTAAAATGTTGTGTTTATTATTTGGTGCTGGGGATTGAATCCAGGGCATTGTGTATACTAAGCGTGTGCTCTACCACTGAGCTATATCTCCAGCCCCCAAACTGTAGAGTTTTGGGAGAGAGGAAAACAAACAAACAAACAAACAAACAAAAACTTGTGGTCAATCAACCATGTTAAATGAAAGTTATTTATTTCTTTAGAACTAAGTTTAGCTGGGCATGGTGATACTTGCCTGTATTCTTAGCAGTTTGGGAGACTAAGGCAGGAGGATAGCAAGTTCAAAGTCAGCTTCAGCAATGTAGCAAAACCCTGTCTCAAAATAAAAAATAAAAAGGGCTGTGGATGTGATTCAGTCATTAAGCACCCCTGGGTACAATCAAAAACAAAACCAAAAACTGATTTTAAGGCAACAATTAAATATTTCCACATAATTTATCTGAAATACCTGATGGCAGACACTATGTTTTATTACTTAAAAAACAAACAAACAAACTGTACTTGTTACAATATGGATACACCATGTTCATTATTGTTATTAAGAACCTGGTACTATTTCTGGGTAAGAAAAAACTGATGTATTTAATAAATTGGAGGCATAATAATGGAGTGGTTAAAAGAATACTGCTACCTGTGTTGGAGTACTTGGAATTAGACTTACCTTCTTCCAGGAATAACTATAATAACTGGAGTAGTGGAAATCTCCCTGTTTAAAAACATGAATGAACACCTGGAACAGTCAGAACCTGACTTTTTTTTGCAGTCCTGGGAATTGAACGTTTTTCAAGTATGCTAGGCTGACTATACCCCACCCCTCTTTTAATTTTGAGACAGGTTTTGCTGAGTTACCCAGCCTGGCCTCTAACTTGCAATCCTGTGTCCCAAGTAGCTGGGATTATAGGTGAGCCCCATGATACCCAGTTTCTCTTTTTCTTTCTTTCTTTCTTTCTTCAGTGCTATGTATTAAACCCAGGACCTCATTCATGCTAGGCAAGTACTCTACCTCTGAGTTACAGAGCTATATCGCCAGCCCCTCAAAACCTGTTTTATGAGCTAGAGAACAATATGAGAGAATTTATAATACTGTTTTTTATGTGACATGAAAAATACCTCCTTATTACTCTGCTTTTTCAGAATTATCCTGGCAATTTTTTAATAATCATATATTTTATTTTATTTTTAGTTGATTTAATTTTTTTATTTCTGGAAATTCTTGAATGTTCATTTTTGCCAATGAATTTTATAATATTTTTTCAGTTTATCCCAAGAAAAGTCTCATACAAAGTCAATGACAAATATCACGTGGATAGAGAGTTAGACCTATTAATTGAAGAGAAAACTAAGGATGGTAATATGACCAAGTGCTTTCAAAGAAAGTGACTTCAGTATTAAAGGATTAAGAGAGTGACAACCCATTATTGGATGATGGGAAATGATGGATTAAGAAACTTGATGTAATCCTCAAATATTTTTGTGAAAATTGTCTTTATGATCATCCTGCAATAGTAAAATAAAGTTGTATTCTCTTAAAATTTTGTTGGAAAAATTATACTGCATTCTTTGTTCTAAGAATTAGCATGTTAAAATATCAAACTAAATTGTTTTCTGTAAGTTTATATAAACTTATTTCTGTAATATTTTTATTTTACATTAAAAGTTCAATCAATCCTTTTTACTCCATTATTTACCATGAAGTTTTGATTCTCATTTTAAATGTGTTACTTTGAGTAGTAGTCTTTTCTGGTGTCAGTTTTCTTTTGATAATGAGAATTTCTTATATTCAAAGGAAAACTTTTAAGCCTATTTTGAAACTTTTTAGGAGAGATTGTCAATGACTTGTTAACTGTTGTTACTTTAGTTGAAATTGGATCATATTCATGAAGAGATATATCTCTTCATATTTATATCTCTATATAGATACACCTCTAGTTTCTATGACAGTGCCTGGCACCTAATAGATTCCCCAAAATGTTTTTTTTTTAAATAAATGAGAACTAAACAGAGGGAAATATCATCCTTTTTATAGGGAATGTATAATCTAATGATGGGGCTACAACAAATAAACAAAAGATTAGTAATACTTATAGATGGAGAGGAAAAGGTTGTTTCAGTTGAGCTTAATAGTAAGTTTTAATTTTCAGGAGTTTGAATTTGATTTTGATTTAGGAGGAATTTGGAGTGATAAATTTTGCAGAAGAAAATTAATGATAGGTCAGAAGAAAAACAAGCTATTTTTGTTAGGACTGCTGTGTTAGTCAGCTTTTTAATTGCTGTGACCAAGATACTTGACAAGTACAACTTTGAGGAGGAAGTTTATTTTGGCTCACAGTTTCAGAGGTCTCAGCTGATTGCACTGCTCTGAGCTCATGGTGAGGCATAACATCATGGTGGAAGGGCTGATGGAAGAAAACTACTCAACTCATGATGTCCAGGAAGCAGGCAGAGAGGGATCAGGGACAAATACAAAGGTACACCTCTAGAGACCTAATTCCTCCAGTCAATCCCACCTGCCTATAGTCACTGCCCAACTAGTCCATTCAAATTATTAATCCATCAACTGGGTTAATCCACTAATTAGGTTTCAACTCTTACAGTCTCACTGCTGAACATTCCTGCCTTCACACAGGAGCTTTTGGGAAATACCTTATATCCAAACCATAATAACTACATCAGGTAGGTTAGGGTTTTTGTTGTTGTTGTTGTTGTTGTTACTCTAAGGTTCTGAGCCACATCTTTGACTATAAATGTATATAGCAAGGAACAGAGCTGTCTGAAAACATCAATGACTTTAAAAAAATTTTTGTGATGCTTTCCAAATACTGAATTCTGAAACTCAGTGTAACCAGGGACATGTTATATTTACTAAAGATAGAAAATTTTTTCTATTTTCCTCAAAAGAATTCTGAAAACCAAAAAACATTAAATATAAAAGCATAAAACAGAATAATCACATGCAATATATCATCACATACATATTTCATCTCACACATGGATGTTTAATCTTTAAAGTAGCCCAGCAGGATTATGTACACCCAAATTCCATTAACCATAATATGTTTTGTCATCTTCATTCTTTTTCAAGTTCTAGCCCACACTTTCATGTAAAATTATTAATGTCAGACACAAAAATTAATATAGGAAAAATAATGTTTTATAAAAATAATCTTTTATAATATTGGAAACTAAATACAATATTTTTATTGATTGAATGTACAGGCTCAGATAATAATTATTGAAATATCATCAGTTCATTACTAAATATGCCTTAAAAATTCTGTAAGTGCAATAGGATTGAATATATTTTTACACTATTGATTGCTTTTGCTTACAAAGTTTTTACGTATTAGAATGTTTTTGAGATTTTGCATATTTTATATTTAAAAGAAAATATCTTTCTGTGACAATGTGCTGTTGAAACAGAGTTTCTTTATAGTTGATATCTCATTTATACCAAGATCGATATCTCCTATATTATCAGTAGAGAAAGCAGTTTGTAATTGTAAAGTATCTATGTGTGCAAACATATGTGATGGATTTTAAAATTATTTCCCTAGGAAACATTACATTTGAAACAATGATGGAAATTCTCCGAGATAAACCAAGTGGCATTAATATGGAGGGAGAATTCCTGACCACTGCAAGCATGGTTTCTGTTTTACCTCAAGATTCCAACCTTCCTTGCATTCACTTCTTTACGGGGACTCCTGATCCTGAGAGGTAAAGTCACAAAATACTGTGAACTAGCAAGTGGTCATGGTATGGGGAAGAATCATAGTGTGTTGATAATTCTGTGAGACTAAATTTTTGTTACATAAATAAAGACAACTTGTTGGTGGATTTTCTGGGCCAATTTTAGATTGCAATTTCCATATACGTGTAACTGTTCTCATTTTTTATGGGAAGAAAAGGCTTATAGTTTTGTATTTACCCTTATCTGTACTCCTTTTTCCTACAAATATATTTAACATTGTCAAGAAAAGAAGGTAGATAGGTTTTTCTACTCAGATTTCAGACATTAATGACATTAAATGACTTATAAGTTAGTAAATTGAATAAGTAATGTAGTTGTGCTAGATTTACTTATGTACATATAGAAAACACATATAAAACTTAAACTATCAGTAGTTCAAGTTATATCTTTAGGACTTTATTTATAGACTATCTTGATTCAAGTCATTTGTATCTCTTACCAAATTTAACACCACATTACATTTAGAAATGATTTCGTACTTGCTATCCCTTAATGTTATAGACTTTCATATTGTTAAAGATATTTCAAGAAGTTAGAGTGTGAAACCTGTGTCCCCTCATTAACACTTGTACTGATTTTCACCCTAAGTTATAATCCTCAGTCTATAACACTGAGGATTGTTCTTACCTTAGGAAATGGAAAACTGTTTATACACTGACATGGTATATGTGCTGTGCTCTCAGTAGGTCGGTATGAATGCAGCCCTAAATTAAGCATTGTCCTTGCCATAAATGAGATCACACTGTACTGGGAATTGGGCATAAGCATAATTAATATGACGGAACAACTTACTTATGTAGCGTCATTAACAGAAACTTCTCTAAGAGAATCTTGGAAAACTTAGAATAATGTTGAATTTTTAAACATTTTGACATGTCAATTTAATGAAGTGTCTTTCTTCTAGATCAGTTTTTAAGCCTTTCATATTTGTGCCGCATATTTCACAACTGTTGGATACCAGTTCACCAACATTTGAACTTGAAAATCCAGTTAAAAAGAAGCTGCACTTAAAGAGTAAGCCTGACAGAAGACACCCACTCTACCAAAACCACCAACAGGCTTTGGAAGTAATAAATAATAATGAGGTATTATTATAATTATATTATATTATTTGTTGTATCATTAGAATAGTTTAAAGTATGATTTAATCTGAATTCTAAACATTGAAGAACCAATTTCTTTCCTTCATGTAAAAAGTAGGTTTATAAATAGTATAGATGCTGCTGGAGATGATGGTGCCCGCCTGTAATCCCAGCAGCTTGGGAGGCTGAGGCAGAAGGATTGGATTTCAAAGCCAGCCTCAACAACAGCGAGGTGCTAAGCAACTCAGTGACACTCTATCTTTAAATACAAAATAGGGCTGGGGATGTGGCTCAGTGGTCAAGTGCCCCTGAGTTCAATCCCCGGTACCCTTTTCCCTGCCCCCCCCCAAAAAGAAATAGTGTAGATGTTATTACTATTGTAAAGCTGTATTATTTTTACTTTTGGTTAAGAATATGTGTGTTGTGATTATTTTAGAGAAATTTAGTATTTTAAACATAACAATAACTAACATTTATTGAGCACTTATTATATACCATTTTATATAGATTATTTTATTTAATCAGCACAATCATTTTGAGATAGGTACTATTGTTATCTCCATTTTACTGATAAGGAATCCAAGACTAGGAGAGAGGTTTAGTAATTAGCTTAGTATCTCACACCAAAAATTACAAAGACTCTAAAGGGTAGTAAATCTTAATCCTACAACTGCAGATGAAAATTAATTGAAAGTGATTAAAGGCCTCATAGACTTAAAATAATAAGTTGTTTTTTTAAAAAATAATATATGCTTATTATTTTAAAAATGTGAACATTGTAAAGAGCAACATGTCACCTGAAATCTCCAGAAATAAGCAGATATATTTATTTTCTGACATAGATTGAAAGTTAATTTTATAAAATATATCTCTTCAGCCCTCCCTATCCCTTGCCCGTCCAACTCCCCTCTCTCCCCTATAAGAATGAAATGGGGCTGGGGTTGTAGCTCAATAGTAGAGTACTTGCTTAGCATGCATTAGCATGCATGCATGAAGCCTTGTGTTTGATCCCCACCCAGCATTGCAAAAAAAAAAAAGAAAGTACAAGTGCTGTCTAAAGGCAACTATCAATTGACAACCTGCAATGAAGGAAAAGATTAACCATCCTATATCTTTTCTTGGCTATTTTTACCACTTGCTGATTTTTCTTGCTATACAATCCTTTAACTTTTTCAAGATCTAGGCATTTACGTCTGTCTACATTTAAATCAATTAAATTAATTTTCCTCCATGTAATTACTCATTTTTGCCTGTAATATGTTTGCATAGTTATCTGCCTTTTCCCCTCACTTCACTATTTTGCTTTTGTTTGAAGCACTTTGCCAGACTTCCTATTTGCTAAGAATTCTTAATGCTGATTCTGCTTTATTGGGGACCAGTTTGTTTTCACATCTGGTCTACAGTCTAAATACTGTTTTGTAGCTTAGTGGTGTGAACTGAGAGGCAAGCAATAGGAACCCACTTAGTATGCTGACTGGGGCCCAAGTCACTGGGCCTGAGGTGTCTATTATTCCTATGTGCTTAGCTCATTCTCCACACTCAGAACAGTGTGGTGAACAATGATGAGCACTCTGATTCTTTGGCCTTTGCTCAAGTCGCTTAGTGTTATGCTTCAGGAACTTCTACTGGGTCCCTTTACTTCTCCTGTGCAGTTTCCACACAGCCTTTGTTGCTCATAATTGCTCTCATGAGCTTTCACTTCTCTTTTCCCCATTATACTGCTTCTGGGAGGTGAGTTTTATAGAGTTAGTATTAAATATTTGTTAAACTAAATTAAATTGCTGATTGGAATTACAAAATAATTTTGGGATAAAAATGAAAAGCTCGGGGCTAGGGTTGTGACTCAGTGGTAGAGTGCTCACCTAGCATACATGAGGCACTGGGTTCGATCCTCAGCACCACATTAAAAAAAATAATATGTCCGCCTAAAACTCAAGATACATAAATAAATAAATGTTTAAAAACATTAGAAGCTGTTACTGTTTAAAAGATGTTAATTGTTGATTGACAATATAAAGTCGTGGAGAAATAATGTAATTTGAGGGTGGTATCAATAAGCTGTGTTCTAGTTCTGACTCTATAACTACTTTTTTGTTTTAGGGAGACTCAGTCCTACTGATAGTTTTAATTTACATTTCTTGATTACTAGTGAGATAGAAAATCTTCTCTATTTATTGGTATAAATATTAAATGACTTGGCTGGGTTTTTTTTCATAGCTTATTTCTTAGTTGATTTAAAAAAATTTTTTTCAGTTGTTGATAGACCTTTCTTTTATTTATTCATATGTGGTGCTGAGAATTGAACCCAGTGTCTCACATGTCAGGCAAGTGCGCTACGCTGAGCACCAGCCCCAGCCCCTCTCAGTTGACTTTTGGGTCATTTATGTTTGTGTGTTTTGCATCAAAGAGGCCAAAAATATGAATGTTAACTTTGTTATGTGCAGGGATTTTGTTGTTGTTTTAAAATATATTTTTTTAGTTGTTGATGGACCTTTAGTCATTTATTTATATGCAGTGCTAAGAATTGAACCCTGTGCCTCACACATGTGAGGCAAATGTCTACCACTAAGCCACAACCCCAGCCCTTGTTGTTGTTGTTTTTGATGCTGATAATTGAACCCAGGGATTTCATTCAATCTAAAATAGAGATTCATTCCTTCTATATTTACATATTAGGAGGGATAACTAATCCAGAAGTAGAAACCACAGTGAACAAATCTTGTCTGTGAGGGTGGGTTGGAATTTGGATAGATTCATGTACTCATGTATGTGTATTTGTGTACTTTTCATTGTTTAGGATAAAGCCAGAACAATACTGGATAACATGAGGAAGCTGGAGAAAGAACTATTCAAAAAGATGGAGTCAGTCCTCCAAAACAAGCATCTTGATATGGATAAAATTGCTAATCTCTTTCCTCAGAGTACAAAGGATGAAATTAGAATTTATAAGGCAAATATTACTTCATAGCAATCATAGAAATGGTGGAAATCTCCCTCAAAGTCAGAATCCATTGTCTTGAGGTAAACTTACTTAGCTATTATTCTTTAATAGCATTCAAGTAATAGTTCAATTGTTAAAACTCATATAGTTTTGCTGAGATACTGACAAAAAAAACCAAACATATATCATGAGGTAGCTAGGTGTTATTCCAGGCAATTATTTCTTTTAGCCACAACAACTTTTTTTGTCACAATAATTAAGTATTCAGGTGCTGGGGCTGAGGCTCAGTGGTACAGCACTTCCCTCTCATGTGTGAGGCATTGGATTTGATCCTCTGCACAACATGAAAATAAATAAAAGTATTGTGTCCATCTACAACTAAAAAAAATTAAGTATTCAATTCTACATAAAGCATAAGACATTAATATGATGCATGGATTTATACTTATAATTTCGTAGTACCCTCAAATCATTTTATCAATTATTTTAAGTTTTTTTTAGGAATGGAAAAAATATGAAGTGGTGAGTTTTCTTATGTTTTAGGCAAATATTAACCAGTGCTAACAAGGGAATTTTCTAGATTTACACACTAAATCTTTGTCATTGTATTAATTCTGAAAATACACTTTCATTCAAACACACTCTATATCAAGAGTTGGCTTACCAGTGAACTTATAGCTCCAATTGTTTAGCCTTCCACTGTCTCTTAGAAACCACTATTTTGTTTTTAGTTTTCTCTGTTTTGCTTTCCCCAGAATGTTGGAATCATACAGTAGGTATTCTTTCAGATTGATTTCTCTTGCTTACTAGTAACATACACTTAAGTTACTCCATGTTTTTCATGACTTGATAACGCCTTTCTTTTTAGCACTGAATAATATCCCACTGTCTGGATGTATCACTGTCTGGATGTATCATTACTAAAGGACATTTTGGTTGCTTTTAAGTCTTGGCAATTATGAATAAATCTACACACTGCCATAAGCAGGTTTCTGTGTGGATGTAAAATTTCAACTTACATTGGGTAAATTACAAAATGTGCAACTGCTGGGTCATATGGTAAGACCATGTTCAGTTTTTGTAAGAATTCGCCAAACTGTCTTCCAGAGTCACTACCATTTGCATCCCCACCAGCAATGTTGTACCATATCCTTCCAAGCATTTTTTGTGTCAGTGTTTTAAATTTTTACCATTCTAATAGTTGTGCAGTTGTTTCTCATATTAATTTGCAATTCCCTAGTGACATGAAATGTTGAACATCTTTTCATTGCTTATTTGCCACCTGAGTACATCTTCTTTGGTGAGGTGTCTGTTCAGATCTTTTGCCCATTTCGAAATCAGTTGTTTGTTCATTTTCTTATTGTTGAGTCTAAAACTCTTTCAAAGACATTGTTCTTGGGTTAAAGTCTCTTAACAAATACCACCAAGAGCCTGCTAATTAATCTGTCCTCTGTCTTTATCTTATTACACGTTCACCATTGTTTTTTATGTTTCAACTATGCTGCCCTTTCAAGTCTTGGAATGTGCCCAGTTCCTTCCTCATGGCTACACCCTCTGTTGTACCATTCATTCCGTGTTCTCACCATTTGTAGTTCTTTTAATGGTTTTGCCAAGACAGAAATTCCTTAAGGAAGTTTTCCTCAAACCACAAGGTCGGGTCTCTCTTAAATACTCTTGGAGCCACACGCTATCCTGATCACAAACTAATTATACATTAAACATTTACACAGAACATTAAACACAGTAGAACGAAGCTCTATGGAACTAGGAATCATATTTGTTCTTACTGTTGTATGTGCAGTGTTCAGTATTGTGTCTGGCATGTAATAAATGCTTATTAATAGATATTTGCAAAATGAATATTCAGATACTGACAGGAAAAATTTATACAGTCCTCTGCCTATAAAATGCAAGGTTGCAGAAATTATCTAGATAATTTATCTATACAACTTGTTAGCTTTTGATAAGTTTCAAATCAAGCTGTTGCTTCTTTCCATATTAGAAATGGGAATATATCCCCATATGAAAGCAAGGATAATTGGGGCTGGAGCCATGGCTCAGTGGTAGAGGACTTGCCTCACACGTGTGAGGCACTAGGTTCAATCCTCCTCAGCACCACATAAAAATAAATATATCGTGTCTATCTACAACTAAAAAAGTTAAAAAAAAAACAAGGATTATTAATGTAGTATTAATGTATGTAATTATTAGTGTAAATTAATATAATATAGCTTGACTTTCACTGTATAAATGCAATTGGGCTGTGAGTACTTGTGGGGGTAATTAATGCCTTGGGATATATTGTAAAAAATTTAAGGTTTTATTAAATTTTATCTATTGTAAGAGTAAAAAATATAGTTGCTGAATTAAGCTTTTTATTAGGTCAACCCTTAAATTATGTTATAAACCAAGGGAGTCATCTAATAAATTGTACTTTACAGAAAGCTACATTGTTTGATCTTGATGAAAATATCAGTTTATATATTTATTGTTAAAAAAAGAATGTTGTCCTAGAAATAATATGCAGCCTAGAATTTTGGAAAGTTAGTTCCTTCTTGTAAAATTTTCCAAAAATAGTTCTACATAGTGAATTTTTCTCTTTTGAATTAATTACTTCAGATTTCCATCATGCCAACTGCAGAACTTTAAAATCTGTCTTTTCCTAAAGAATAGTGATAATACGTATGGTCCTGAACTGTGTTTCCAGTCATCTTTCATCACATAGGTATAAGATACAAAGGGGCAAAAACCAAGAGCTGTATTCTGCTGTATAATTTTTGGGTCACTAATCATTATTCTCCAAGTATACTTTATCTTATTCTAAAAATATTAAAAGCAAAGCATAAGTTAGGCATGGACTTGTTCATTGAGAGTTAAGATAACAATAGACTATGCTGAAGATTAGTAAAAAGGGGTAGATTTTAATCAAAATTGTATCAGATAATTTTCTCAGCTGTGACTCTACATATTAAAAATCATGAGATGTGGCTCAGCAGTAGAGTGCTTGCCTAGCATGTGCAAGGCGCTGGGTTTGATCCTCAGCACCACATAAAAATAAATAAAATAAAGGTATTGTGTCCAACCACAACTAAAAATAATATTTAAGAAAAATCATGAAATGTATGTAAGGCACTCTTAATTTCATATTAACTCACTCATAAAAGGTGTTCAGTGAATTCATAATTGGGGAAGTTCCTATGCACAGGACCTAGCGGGTCATGAAGAAAGGGACAGTCTTAAGAAACTCATTTAAGAAAACATTAAGAACTTAGATTAAAGACCCGTTTGATAGTATCTGTATCATTGCAGTTGCCCAAAGAAAAGATGACAGCAGTGAAAGTTAAAATAGGTAGTTTATTGAGAAACTTGCTTTGTCAGTGAGAAAGTAACAGTTACAAATATTTTCATTTAATAAAATTAGCATATCCTTAATCTAAAAACATCTCTTAAAATCCTTTATCTGAAACTGCAGATCATTCTGATCTAGGATTTTCTTTTAGTGTCTCCCATGGAAAAAGAGGTTGCAGAATCCTTTTGTGCAAATAACAGAACATATGCAGTATGACTTATTTGTATGACTTGTTCATAAATAAAAAATTTCTCCACTTGAGTTTGAGTTGCCTGCATGCATGTGAGTTACATCTCTACTGGAACAGCAGTGAGGCTTTATGCTTACTCCTGAGCATTCAAAGAGTATTAACGTGGTCATATTTTTTTAGAAAAAGTTCCCCCACAAGACAGTTCTGTTTAAAAACACGCCCATTCTCTAATGATAGCTTGAAATTTGTTTAGGTTAATGGTATACTAAAGTAAAATTTACTTGTTAAATACACTAGGCTTCCATGCAAGTTTTTAAAAAATTTATATATCTGTTGCATTAAAAGGGCAATAATTTTCTAAATGGCTTTATATAGAAAACACTAAACATGAGATAAACATTTCAACATATTTTAAGTAAGTTAAACTGACACCTAATAATTAAGTAGATGTTCAAAAATCATGTGAATAACTCCCTTTAATTTTCTGAAGATGAACTTTATCTGTTATGGTCTGAATGTTTGCATCCCCTCAAATTCATATGTTAAAATGTAATCCCCAGTGGGATGGTACTGGGGGGTGACTAGGTCGTGAGGGTAGAGCCCTCATGGATGGCATCAGTCCCTTTCTCAGGGCTGAAGAGACAAGAGTTTTTCCCTTCTACCATGTGAGGTCACAGCAAAAGGGCACCAGCTGTAAACCAGAAATTAGGCCTTCACCAGACACTGAGCCTGCCCATGTCTTAAATCTTAGACTACACAGCCTCCAGACCTATAAGAAATAAGTTTCTGTTGTTTATAAGCTATCCAGTTTGTGGTGTTTTGTTATAGCTACCTTAATGGACTAAGATAGCAACATTTAGTAATTTAAAAATTTACAGATTTTTTTTTTAATACATAGAATTCATAGACTGAATTCTAAAGGTAGTCATAGGGTGCTATGTCTAGAAGTTTTAACTCTTGACTTGGACTATATATATGGTCCTTTTTATTCACTGCAGGGAGAAAAGTAGTAGGGTTATTATTCTGTACTATGTTGCTTTGTGCAAATAATAAGTGATACATCACATGGCAATAATTTTTTAATATTTAAATAAATATGCACAAATTACTATCTGTAGCACAAAAGTTAGAGATTGGATTTTGATGATAATATTTATGGAGGTTTTTATTCCTTTCCTAATGACATAGATTAGTACTTTGGTTAGAAGAGCAAGAAGAGACAAGCCTATTAAAAAAAAAAAAAGGCAGTGATTCTAATTTGTTAATGAGTTTTTTTGAAGAAATGGACGGGGGCTGGGAGGAATAAGAACCTCTTATTAGATTCAGTAAAATTATTTTTTTTAGGAAGTGCCATCAATAAATGTAAAGTTACCATAATTTTATGTCCATTTCACCAGCAGAACATCTGTCAAATTTGGCAATTAAAAGGAATTGTCAACTGGATACTGATTTTGAAGTTATAGCAAACAGTTGCAGGAAGAAATCATTTTATAATGTTGCCACATTAGTATTATTTATAGTAATTATTATATTCACTATCAGAACTTTTCCTTTTGTTTTTTTTCTTTTTCCTAGGTGTTAGCACAGGGCAGGGGGAATGCATCTTGTCAGATTTTACAGAAGTGGCAACTGAGGCTCAGAGAGGGTCTAACTTGCCCAAGATCACACAGATAAATACTGGATCTGGGACTAGAATATGATTCCATGGAGGATTCTCTCCTTTATCATTTAGGACTTAGGAGAAAGTGAGGATGGGGGTGAATGCTCAATTTCTTTATAGCTTTCCTGTTGGGGGCTGTTTGCATTAATAGCAGAAGTCTGTTCAGGACTCTTTTGAAGAAATCTGTAAAACAAGTACTCATCCCGAAATTCATATTCATTGGTAATATGTTGGATGACTCCCCCTTGCACCAGTCTGTCTCCATATATCACAGCTTCACCACGGTCAGAGGCAAGGCCAACTTCAATTAGCCAGTTCACCAGGTCACAGCCACAGAAGGTCCCAGCAGAAGTCTTTGCACCACACCTGTATGTCAAAGGAATGATTCACCCATATGTTCTGTAAACCTGGTATCAGCACTGCATGGTAGAGGACAAGCAAGGAAAAAATAGAAGGAAACAAGGGAAGACGGCACGATAGTTAAAAGCATGGCAGGAATGAAACTGTTCTGAATATAAAGGAATTGTTAACTTTCCTGACCCCAGAAAGACTCCTGGAGAAAAATAAAATATGCCAATAATGCTTGTGAAAACAGAAACACTTCAACAACAAAAAATGGACATAGGTAATGTCTGAATATTATATATATTATAATTTCTTATATTCTTATTTGTGCTAAGTAATTTTAATTGTCTCAGGAACATTACATATTTTTTGTAAGCTCTTAAGAAGTGACTATTTTTATTAAACTACTGAAATCAAACTTTATTATCGTGCCCACAAGTAGTGTTTCTTTCCATCAGCAACCAAGACAACCTCACTTTTGTGTTTGTCAGGATTTGCTTCATTAAAAAGCAAGGAAAGAATAAGTGAGATCTGTCTTGCTACAAATCTTAAGATTTTTTAAAATGTGCTTTATAAATCTACTTCTTGGTCACTTAAATTTTGTCTTCTTAATGCAAATATGAGGTCCTTCAAATATGTTCAAATAAACAAGGAAAAGAGAAATGAAAAAAAAACAACCAAACCCAATTACATAAATTCTGTATAAATATACAATAGACAACAAAAATCTGTCCACAAGCATCAGTCAAGCTGTAAAACCTAAAGTGCTTGACAATGAGAAATAGGGAATGAAGACTGAGATGAAATGAGAAACAGGTGACAAGAATTTAAAACATTTTATCATAAATAAAATATATGTGTATCATATAAGAATTATAAAAAAGGTTAATAAACGAAAATGTTTCTCAAGTATGTAAAAATCACAGTATGTTTTGTTTTGAGGTGCTGGGGAATGTCACCCAGGGCCTTCAAGCTTGTTAGGCAAGCACTCCACCGCTGAACTACATCCCCAACCCCAGATTACAATATTTTAACTTAGTAATAAGAACTCTTAACTTAATTCTTTGCAACTGCAAACATCATTTTGACAGAAGCCTGAATGTTACAACCCCTATCTGAGCCTTCTTCCTGTTTGTTGGCTTTTAATTTATAGTCCTAATGCCTTCTGTCCCAGACACCAATTTAATAGTTTCTTGAAGACTGTGATCAGGCAGCTGTAACAAAAGCCCATGGAGATGTACAGAGTGTCGGAGAATGTGATGCTGTTCAGGCAGTAGAGCCTGGAAAGAGACAGGGAACAGGCCAGAACACTACCAGCTGGTGCCTATTCAACCATCTGGGACCAAGGCAGCCTGGCAGCCCTGCAAATGGTAAGAGCTACACTTCCCGACAGTTGGCAAGCACAACAGGCCTGACAGAGATAACAACAGAATTTTCTTTTTTAATTTTGAAAAGCAGTTGAAAAAAAAGTTGTTGATGCGGATAATATCTTGAAATAATTGTGCTCAGCCCTTTAAGGGTAGAACATTAGCTTTTCTCCATAGTTTACCATTAGGCTAGGCATATCACAGACATTTTGTCACCTAATTCAAACAATATTGAGAGTCAGATTTTTAAAGAAAAGGAAAACTAAGGCTAGAGAATTGAACCTGCCTATTGTCACACAGCCAAGAAACTTCAATTCAGGAGTTGAATTCTAGTATTAACCTACACCCAAATGATTCCCCTTTCCACCATCTAACCTAGGCTGCCTTCTGATTATAATGGCATGTATATTAAATATAGTGGCATAATAGGTGCAAATAAACTATCCTATATAATTTCCAGTTATACACATGTTACTTTCCTTATGTTTTATTTTTCTTTCATGACAACCAAAAATATTTTCACTACAAATTTGTTTATTCAAAGTTGGTCATTTCCTGCTGCAGTATATTCCATACCTTGAAAATATAATGTCATAGACCAAAGGAAGATTAAGACTTGAGATGAAATATAAGCAGCAGAATTAATTAAGAGGCAGAAATTTTATTATTATTATTATTATTTGTGGTACCAGGGATTGAATCTGGGGCACTTTACCTCAGAGCTACATCTTTTTTTTAAAAATTTTGAGACAGGGTCTCACTAAGTTAACATGGCAGGCCTTGAATTTGCGATCCTCCTGCCTCAGCCTCCCAAATTACTGGGCTTACAGGAGTGTGCTACCACTCCTGCCTTCATTTTGTTTTCTTGGCAATATGAAACAAAATAACAATATAATACTAGAAAATGGGAATATAAAACCATTTCTGAATCCAATGTATTTCAAAGCTTTGTGAGACACACTAATGGCCAACATGAAGTGAATGTTAATATTCTACCACATTCGGGTTTGTTTTAAAGTTCTCACATTTTATGTAGAAATCAGAAGTTATACGATATTTTAAAGTAGTAAAATCAAAGTAATATGTCTCTTTCATATGCTACTTCTTAAACTAAAAACTGACCCATAACTATTAGCCTATTAAAATCCAAAAATAGTTAATCTAAAATATAATTATTTGGATCTACAATGGCAATTTGCTTACCGTCTTTCCTTGACGATGTTACGGATACAGAGGTCACGGTGATAATGGATAAATTGTTGACAGGTCATTTTTATTTCCTCAGAAACAGGAGAATCTCTGTTTTCTGCTGTTTCTTTATTGTTCCATAGAAATTCAAGTCTGAAAATCAAAATTTAAGGAGTTTATTTTTTCTTACTGGAGATTGAACCTGGAACTTTGTGAAAACCTAGGCAAATGCTCTACCACTGAGTGACATCCTCAGCCCCCCCACCCCCCACCATTTTTTGTGGTCCTGGGGATTGAACCCAGGGTCTTGTTACATGCAAGGCAAGCACTCTACCAAACTGAGCTATATCCCTAGCCCCTCAGCCCCTTTTTAAGAAATGTTTTTGTCTTGATACAGATTCTCACTAATATGCTCAGGCTGGCCTCAAACTTGAGGCTTCCCAGGAGCTGGGATTATAGATGTGTATTACCATGCCTGACTAAGGAGGCTATTTTTTTTTTTTAATTATTC